CTGGAAATTCCAGTTCTCCTCTTATTACCAAAGTTAAGGTGCGTCGATGATCCAATGGTAGAATGCTTGCTAGTCACCTGGAAGGACCTGGTATGATTCCTGGCCGTCGCACTTCTAAGCCTAGCCTAGCTTACTAGCGAACAGTAAGCGCTGAAAAGGAAGGGAGGTTGGACATGAGGCTAGCAAAATCACCCTGTTGAAAAATAACATTACTACTAAGCTTGAAGCTCTGAGTTCCACTCATAACGAAAAGGAGTGAAAAAAAGTTTACTTGATGTGTTGTAATTCTCAATTTCATTGTCTTGAACTAGTTAGTAGAGTTGTTTCTCAGATGCATAGATACTTCACCGAGACTACCATAAAACATGCGGTAAGAGTGAAGATTTTCTAGTTCAACTTGATGAGAAAGAAAAAGAAGAAGAAATGTTTAACATTACTGAAATTCTGAAGAAAAATAACCACCTAAAGAACTTCATCAACAAAATCAACACTGACATTAAGTATGGTCGAAAAGTATTCCGAAAACATGAACCCCAACAGTTGTATTCCATACAGAGCAGAGACGTCAGACGATATCAGGAGAGGACTCAATAAGCTCAACAGCAGAGTTTTCTTCAAAACATTAGACTAACACAATGCAAAGCAACCTTGTCCATATAAAAGACCAAATCCTTAAGGATTCTCAGTCTAACTGTGTCTATAGAATAAAATGCTTGGTATTTGATGCGACATACATTGGAAAAACCTAACAAGAAATCAAAATTAGAAGAAATGAACACCGTAGAGCCGTCTATATTCAACCACTAAGAAGTCCAGTTGAACTAGAAGAGCTCGAAAAATCAACAGCCATAGCTTGTCTACACGCTATAGAATCAGGCCACAAAATTGATTTTGACAATATTGAAATTATCATTCTGAAAAAGCATTTGAGAAATCACAAAGAACGTCTAATATCAGAAGCACTTCATATCAAATCGAATCCAAATTGTCTGAGATGAATAGGAATGATGGACTAAAACAGAATTTGACCTGGTTACAACATACACACCCTCCCCCATGAAATGAAAAAATCAACACGAATGTGATAAGCAATTTCATTATGTAAACACACACTGCTTTTATAATTTTGCACACTGATCGAATCCAACAATCTACATCTACCTGGTTTTGTTGTCTTTACCAAATGGACAATTGGACAACATAAAAATGACCCCATTCCGAGGAACGATGATTAAATTGTTATGTATTAGCTGAGTGTATTTTGTAAATTCTGGTTTAATAATACTACTTTGATAAAGCTATTAGCAGCAGCATTAATGAATCGCGAAACGTCAGTACAACCGACAATATCGTTTTGTTTTTCATTCATTGGGAAATACAAAATCAGCTATAATAATGAATATCATATACCAATGCCCAAATTTCTGCAAACTGTTAAAAAAGTGAACTTGGTTTGGACATATACAGTAAGTACAGTCTTTACTTTACTGCACAGACACTTCACCAATACTGCCATAAAACAATGTAGGATTAGTGAAAGTGAAACCAAAATAACCAAAATACCTGTTAGAATGTGTTGGTTTGTGTCTAACGTTTATATTTAAATTATCGCCTTCTAATCTTTATTATTCTTGCTAATTTTAGGTTAATTTGCATTCGCCGTTATTTGATGATGATGTACCTAAATGCTTTGTCTCCGTTGACCTACCGTCCCCAAGTATCAACACTTCGATAATGTCTAGGAGTTAGTGTGAAACTATTTTGGTTGATGGTGACTACAGCAAGTGGGTCCAGGATGCGAAATTTCCATTCAGTATAGATTATTCAGTGGAAAGTGGAAATTCACTTGAACGAATAACGACTGATAGTTGTTGAACAAGAGTTGACTCTTGTGTCTCATTGGCTTGGTGGATGACTCCTTGAGGTGTGAAAAGATGGGTGCTGCGATCAATCCTCAGCGTAAGCATCAGTACTCACTGTGGATGTAGGTAAATCTAGATAGCGAATTTCTGACAGGAAGTGCTACTGTGGAGAGAGCTGTCTGCTAGCCGAAATTAGTAGACAGTAATTTACGTCAGTGTTTATGTTCCAAATCTTGGTTATGAGAAAAGATTACGAGCAACCAATCACAGCAGACATTGCGTGGGCGGATGCGATTCGCAGATATATGGTCTGACCTTCAAAGAAATGGCCACAAAGAGATGACAGGATAACCTACAGCAAGAAAACAACCAATCAGAAGACGCTGTTTCTCTACTAATAATAACGCTGATAATGATGTACATAAAAGTCCATAAATATCTGTTGATTTTCTCAATAAACGATCTGTTGCCTGACCCTTGTCTTCTGTTGTTACACTATGGATACTTGATTTCGCTGCTAACCACCATTATCCAAATAGTAATTTGTCCTATGTTATTGAGAAACTTTCAAATACTGCGCTAAGTAACTAACTTTGAAGTTACAATTAAAATGCGATGAATTGAATCGCCTTAATGAAGTTACTTAATCTCATAACACCACTGATGGGCTTAGCCTCAAATTAACCAAAAGGATGTCATGCATTTAGAGCAATATGATCATCTGGTCGGGAGTAAATTTTGGAAGCTTTAGGTATAATTCAACTACTTATATCAAAACAAATGTTCGTTCAAAAGGGATTTGAGTGCTCTTATATAAGAATATGAAATGATATCAGTGAGGGGACTAGTAGGAACTAGATTATATTGGACAGCTGTTTCATCCTCTTCACTACTGCTCATCCATGATCACACCTTGGGATCAAACTAGTTCTAAATTGATTGGACTGAAAGTATTTCGAAAATGCCTAAAAGTCAACAAGTGAAAATAAATTCAATGATAACTAGTGACTAACTGCAGGATGAAGTTGCCTGGAATTCCAGTGGGAAGTCGTGACCAGTAGCGTCTAACAAGTTAGGTGTGAGGACAAATAACCACCAGTGTCATCGGCTGGTAGTGTTACTACATATATACAGTTAGTATTCATGAGCTGACGACTGGATTCCGTCCTAGTGGCTGATCAGTCAACGGTCTCGCCTCCTAACCGCAGGGTTGTGGGTTTGATCTTTGATGAAGTGGTGGTAGTTGCGTAAACACGAAGTTTTATTGAAGAGAAAAATTCAACTCTTCAGTACTTTCAAGTTTCCAAGAGTTCTCCAATTCATGTGCGAGTTTGTGATAGGATTTAGAAACGTGTTATTGGTATGACTATAAACAATGGAATGTAAAACTGAAAGCTTCGATTATTGATGAACTCATCATCTGAAATGGTTACAGGATTTTATCATGAGCTGATATTGGCTTGAAAACGATTGTAAGACCTGGGAGTACTAGACAACTGCTTCATCAGCCTAATTTGGGACTCTTCATCAATGCGCACCCACCACAGGGATTCGAACCCACGGCCTTCTGGTTAAAAGGCGAGCTCGTAGACCATTAAGCCACTGGGACCCTATCCAATGGCCCTTTAATTCTAACTTTGCCAATTCACAACATAGCGCGACTGACACTAGCAAATGTCATCTGTGGCGAGTATTTGTCCTCACGCCCAACCTGCTGCACCCTACTGGTCACGATATCCTACTAGAACCCAGGTAACTACTACCTACCTGAACAGGGCCAGTCACTAGTAAGCATCTCATCGAATATTCAAGTATTGGTTTGTAAGGATTTGATTGATTTAATATCAGTAAAAAGTTTGAGCATTGTGGATTAGATCAAATAAAGTATAATTATATTTCAATAGTTTACACAGAATGATAAGTTTTGTTATTGGTAATATTTCGAGCAAAATTACTGCCCGTGTTCACACCACTGTTGGAATTGTTTGAACCAATAACAAAACTTATCATTGTGTGCAAACTATTGAAATATAATTATACTTTATTTGATTGATTTGTTGTTGGTTTGTGGTGAGAGCTGTCTGCTAGCTAAAATTTTTAGACAGCAATTTACGTCAATGTACACGTCCCAAATCTTGGTCATGAGATAGAAATAAGAACCAAGACCAACTCAACAACCAATCACAGCAAACTTTTCGTGGGCGGATACAATTAGCAGATATATGGTCTGACCTTCAAAGAAATGGTCACAAAGAGATGACAGAATAACCTTGAGCAAGAAAACAACCAATCAGAAGACGCCGACTCTCTGTTAACAGTAACGCTGATAATAATGTACATAAAAATCTATAAATATCTGTTGATTTTCTCAACAAACGATCTGTTGCCCGGCCCTTGTCTTCTGTCGCTACAGGTTCATCTAAGACTTGGGGATAGTGATAGTGATAAAAACTCAATGACATACTTACAAAACAAGGGAAACAAAATTCAACTAAAATGGAATATTTCAAAAAAAATTTTATGAGCTTTGATTTATTTATGATAATCTTGCATTTCTGAAGAAATAATCATGATATAAGAGATAGAGAGAGAGGGGGGTAGAGCGAAAGAGCGAGAGATAAGGAGGGTGAATTAATTTCGCCAATTTATGAGTGAAGATGGTTGAATATCTTGTAGAAGAAGGGAATTCATTTAATTACTACAACAAATAAAAAAGCAAAACAACTTTTGATACATACAAAATACTTTACAATTTACATATAATACATATATATATATAATCATTTCAAAGGCAATATACTCAATAAGCAAGTGTAATAGTAATTTGAAACAAATCGACCTTTTTATCACACAGACTACAGTCAGTAGCTCACATAGTCCATGCTTCATCCACTCACTATCTCGTGTGTAACAAAATTCCGGTCAACTTAGACTCTGACTAGGGTGTACGACTGTCCTGTCAGCTTTCTATTGATCCATGTGTATTTTTACTGATCATCAATCTCGTTGTGGGCAGTCTGACAAACACAGTCATTTCTTTTATTGAACCCTTCGTCTACAACTTTAGCTGACTGACTGTCACTCGGTAGTTTGTAGGTGTCAGTCGATATGTGAGCAGTTAATATGTCCAGATGAGTTGTGTGTGTCTTGTGTGCGTAAGGGTGTGTGTGTTACAGTCAATTTGAGCTAGTTTTCGTGAGTACGTATGTGGTTGTTACTGCTGTACATTTATAGGAGCTTAGTTAATTGTCGAACCATTATTAGTCTGAATAAAGTGCCTGTTAGTTTGCTCTTTTTCAAGTCTTTAAGTACAATCTATGTATGTACATGTACAAAGTTAAAAAAACGTAAGAAAGACATATTATAGGATCAATCAGACCTCTGTTTAATCGATTATTTGATTGATTAACGTTGATTAGAATAATGTGGATGTTCCGGTTGATTGTTATTACTATTACTACATGTATTGTGATGATTAGTACTGTTACTATTAATATTATTATTATTACTATTATGATGATGTCTGTTATGCAATACAAACTCTTGTTGACAATTAGGCGGAAACAGCTTCTTTTGTACAGAAGAATAACCGTCGACAAGCGTCTTAGGATACTGTGTAGACTGAAGAGGAGTAGTACTATGCGGTGTTTTTGGCGTTGACGACAACTGTGATTGATTTCGATTGACCAGTAGAGGAGGTTCACGCGTCTGTTGCCTATTTGTGAGAGAGAGAGAAAAAAGAAGATAAATTGAATAGGTTAAATTCTACATACTTTAGGTAGGAAGTGTGCATCGATGGTTCACCGGTAGAATGTTCACCAATCCTCCATGTGGTCTGGGTTTTAATCCCCGATCTGATGACCTCTTAGACCTCACTAAGTCAGTAGAAAGCGTAACGGAGTGGGAAGGTCGAGAGTGTGGCTACTAACATCACACGGTAAAAATACGTTCGCTATCCAAATGTATCACCAAACACTTACCAGCATGGTTTCACAAAGGAAAAAAACGATGCCTCTACAGCTCTATCTTAGAACATCTGATAGATTCCAGACACCAAGCTATCCGACAAACAAACTTCAAAGTCGTCTACAGAATACGAAGCAGTCTTCCTGAAAGTGTACAAGTCAAAACTTCTTCAAAATGCAGAAGCAATGGCAATTCATTTGCTAAGTCCTGAACTCTATATACAGAAGAAGTTCGTTCAATCAATACACTCGCGATGGACGTAATCTATCTTAATACCCAATGGGTAAATTCTTTTTCTTTCTGTCTCTTCATTAGCATTATTCTGTCTTTCCAAATGTTATATTTTACATTTTTTAACTTTCCTGTTCTCTACCCCCCACCCAATTTAATTTCTACACTTCACTACCACTGTTACTGTCTTGACCAACGCTCAATTTTTGGTCATTTGTGTTAAGTCATCCAATTTATTTGCTCAATTTTCGTCCTGATTTAAATGGCATTATGATGCTATTAGATCGTTGGAGGCGACTGGCCACAGGAAGCCTTGCCTGACCCAGGTTTCGTGCTAGTTGGCCTTCAACAGTCAGCAAGGCGTATCTTGAATCTCCAAGGAACTCACTTCCCTTCTAAGATTGGAACCCGCATCACCCAGTGCCACCTACAGTCAGAGACGCTATCACTAAGCTGTTCATGCTCGCAATTGTCCTCTTGTCGGACTGTAGTGGGTACTTTGATTAGACACCAGTAACTAATGTGATGCGTCTGGCTAGTCCTTTTCTTGCTGATTGCCTCCAACCATCTAATATCATCAAATCAATGTGCACCGTGATGGTGGGCTACCCCTTACATGGTGGCCACATTGCCAACCTGAATGACTGATAGAATTCATTCTGCACCAGAGAAAGGACTAGACACATCATACTAGTTACTAGTGTCCAATCAAAGTAAGTGGCATTATTCTCTACCCTTTCTCTACTTTGTCTCTACTTGTAACTACCTCTCTTGCTATCCTGACGTAAGCTGAAATATTTTAGTCAATCATATTACGTCATCTAACTTAACTTACTTACTCAACCTTACTTTAGTTGCTGCCTAATTAACCTTGTTTCTATATTTTTGTATCATTCTTGCATTACCTGATTAATTATCTAAACTTGACAAACCTCATTTACACATACACACAAAAATAATTGTATATAAATGCGATTATACAGCCATGTGAATGAATTCGCCGTCGAAAAGAGTCTCTTCGCTGAACGTTTTCTCTTTTTCAAAAATGAAAAACCCACTGCTACTGAAACTCCAAGGCCGAAGCCTAAAGCCATATATCCCACTCCAAACACAAAGGAATAAAATATCGTAGGAAGTAATATAGAATTGACTACCAGTTAAGTAAACTGTTTTCATTACAAGTATTGGTTTGTAGGGATTTGGTTGATTGGTTACAGAATTTCATCATGAGCTGACATTGGTTAGAGAATCACTGGAAAACCTGGAATTACTGGACATCTGTTTCGTCCCCCTAGTTTGGGACTCTTCATCGGCAGGCACCCACCGGGGTTCGAACCCAGAACCTTCTGGTTACAAGACTAGCAAGCTCGTAGACCATTAAGACACTGGGACCCGATCCAATGGCCAGCCCACGAATTTCAACTTCTGCCAACCGATTCATGACATAGCCAATGTCTTCGGCGATCTGAAGAAATGTGTGGTAGTTACATGTATACTATTCCGGTATGTAAAGCTTTATTCATTTCATGGATAGCGATATCCACATTTAATAATGGCCCTATAACCATTCGTGAAGTCTACTTATTATTTTTTATTATGAAGGTTCCTCTTCATTCCTGGAGTTCTGAGTGGAACGTTGCACTTCAGGGTTCAATCTTTGAAGTAGATATAATGGAGAAGATTTGTAGCTCAGGTGGATGATTTCGATGTAGTTGTGAACACAACACCGTACCATACATAAAGGACATCTCAGAAAGACTTTTCAAACCTTTAGGAATTGATGTCATACACAAACCAACAAAATCATTTCACTCAGCTGGTGGCTCTGTGTCAATTAAACGACTCAACAGCGAAAGAAGATAAAATTAACATCATCTACAAAATAAATTGCAACGACTGCGAAAAACACTACACTGGCCAAAGCGGATGTCCTCTTCGTCTTCGTATCCATGATCATAAGCTAGCCATCAAAAGACATGAAATCCACTACCTCCCTCATATCAGGGACGTAAATTTGACTGGGACAACTAACGTTCAAATATTAGACAGAGGAAACACTAAGAATGCTCCAGTGAATCGTCAATTAATTGATACTTTGAAATAAACTAAATTTACCAATCAATAAGAAGAAAATCTCGCATACAAAGATTCAAACTTCAGGTCAAGGAAACGATCAACACCATTACCAATACAAGTAGCCTGCTAGATGTGAAAACAGCCAAGAGCAACCAATTACTTTCCAGCTCACCAGGAGAGATGACTAATAAACTCCTGGATAAATCTAAAAGCTCACTTCCTTCAAATTGAAGTGTATGCGCTGAAGATGTTGCCTAGTAGTAGGGCAACAATGAAAGCTTCACAAATAGAACATCCAGCTAGCTCAGAGAACACAACTATATCAAAATCTCTTTGGAGTTCCATGAGTGTCATTATTTTTTTAGAACAGCTGGAGTGACAGCCTGATATCTGAGCCTCCTTCTTTTCCACACTTACTATTAGTGAAGTTTGTAGCAGTGCATCGACCAGCAATGAAACGTCGATGACGTACATGGTCGGCGAGCATTCTACCATTCAACCACAGATGCACATAAAGCGTATTCTTTTTTACTACTTTTGTAACTAGGTAATAATTGAGTAACATATGAGTTCGATTAAAAAAATATTGACTTTTAACTTTTGAAATCGGAATCTGCATAGCATATGAGCTTCTTAATACTACGTATAACTCTCATACGTTTCAATGAACAACTTATCTGAGATTATATCAGTAATACATTTAATTCCACTTTGGGAGTCTTTGGAAGTATACTCCTGTGACCCTATTGGAGATGGAAAACTGAACCTTCAGGCTACTAGGGCAAACTCATTGATCATTAAGCCCCTGAGACGGAATCCAATGTCTAACCCATGAATTCCAGCTAACTCTCACTTAGCGATTTTAGTATGACCACTAATCAATGCCATCTGCGAGTATTTTGTCCTCACATCCGCCCTAGTGAACGTCACTAGTCGTGACTTTTCACTAGAAATTCAGGCGAATTCTTCCTGCATCTATTATTATTACCATTGTTCCCTCGGGTTCCTAGTGAAACATAGGGCTTCAGCTGCACGTCTCCACTTGCTTCTATCTTCTGCTGTACTTTTCACCTGCATCCATGTTAGTCCATACTGTTTCAACTCCTCTCCACACGCTCTCCTCCATGTCACCCTTGGACGTTCCACTCGCCGCTTCCCTTTCAGGGTTCCACTCGAGCATTGGCCTGACACGCGATGTCACCCAGCGGCCTCCTCAGCGAGTGTCCTGTATCTAGTCACTATTAATCCCCTTAGACTTCCTCTCTATCTGTAGCCTTTAAACTTCAGACATTGACTATACAACACACAATAAGCTGTTTAATAGAAAACTGAATAATTTAATGAGTGGTTGCTCTCCGGGTTCGATTCCCAGCTAACCAACTCCTAAACCTTGTCTAATTTACTACCGACAGTAAGCTCCGAAAAGAGGAAAGACTGGAGGTGAGGCTTGAAGCCTTATTTTCTATAAGAAGCGTGAAGGAATATAAATAAGAAAACATTTCAGAAGACTGCACAAAATTTGGTTACCTCTTAGTTAATGCAGTTTATATTACCTTCATTAGATCTAGAAGCGTTACCTGTGAACGTTTTAAGAACATTCAAGTATTGGTTTGTAGGGATTTGGTTGATTGGTTACAGGATTTCATCATGAGCTGACATTGGTTAGAGAACCATTGGAGAACCTAGGAGTACTGGACAACTGTTTCGTCCTAGTTTGGGTCTCTTCATCAGTATGCACCCACCACAGGGGTTCGAACCCAGGACCTTCTGGTTACAAGGCGAGCTCGTATACCTTACATGCCCAGACATCGTCGAAGCATCTGAAAAAGAAGCCAACATGTCAACCTGAGACCGAGCACTTCGGCCCAGTCAGTCAGTCGGCGGGAAAATCCAAAATTCAAGTAAATAATTAATATGACCCGTTGCACAAGAGGTGGCTCTCGTGGCCCAAGTGGTTTAGTGGATAACGCTTTGGCGTTTGAAACTATGGACCCTGGGTTCGAGCTGCGATAGCGGCGCCATCGCTCGCTCACTGGGAAATGCAGGTACATCCAGATGACCAGTCCCAAATAGGTTGAAATGCGCATCCTGGATTCCACTGCTAGTCACCATCCACCAATTATATATATATATGACTAGTATGACAAAGTTTATTCATTAGATATCTCATGTGGAAATCAAAAGAAAACCTAAAGCTATACAAAAAAACCATATTATTATTGATCCTTTGGGTTCTAAGTGAAACATGGGGCTTTAACATCCTATCTTCATTTTTTTCCCGTTTTCTAGGGTCCTCTAAAGGTGGCCCCACTTTCGACGATAGTGTCCCTCTCCTACTCATAAAATCTCCTTCATGTCACTCACAGACGATCCACTCGTCGTTTCCCATTCAGGTTCCACTCGAACAATGGCCTGGCAGGCGATGTCATCCATATCCAATTT